AGCATTTAAATAAGAAAAGCACTCTCTAAGACCATCTTCAACGCAAACTTTAACGCTAATGCTAATGCTATATTTGTCATTAAAAATAAATGTGAAAATGACTGATATTTTTCCAGTTATCATGTCATAATTATTAAGTTCTGAAACTTGTAAAACTGAAATTTTAATATTATAATATTTTGAAGACGACAATGTCATAATGATAAAAAGAAAATGTTATAACGTCAACAAATAACAATGAAATTTTGGCATTTACTTATACTTGGTGTCAAATTTTACCATCAATTACAGCATTATAAGTCAAACTTAGCATAAAAATAACATTCTATTGGAGAATAGTTTTTCTACTCAAATTATAAAATTTGACATCGTATTATTGAAAATGCTCTTATGGCCCATAAAATTATATATTTATCAAACTACAACATGAAACTCCCGTTTACTACAAGGACATATATACATAAACATGAAAGCTATGAGAGCCTCCTGCGCATGAGAAACAGTAAAGTGCCTAATCTTGTATCTTCCAATTTAAAAGGACAATCTACCTATATATTAGAAACACTCAGTGCACGTTTAGTTTATAAATTCAGAATTATTCTTGATTTATGTGTATTTTTTTGAGAGAAAATACTGTAGAGAGCCACGAACCATGACAAGAATCCACCAACCAAACGCACATTCAGTTTGGACTAATTAGGGCCCATTTAGTTTGCTGATTTGAATTTTTAATTTGAGTTGAGATGTGACTTTATGTGAGATCTTTTTACTGTAGTAAAAAAGTTAAATATAACTGTTTTTAAAATTTTTTTACTGTAATAAAACTCGAATCGATAAAATGAACATGACTTTAACGGGCAGAGTCTTTCCATTGCTCAATATCAAGTACTATATCCATACTTGTAATTTTCCGGCGCAAAAGGGTATCAAGCAATACAAAAACATTAATGGCTGCTGAAATTAAATGTCAAGTCCTTTTTTTTTTACTTTTGTTTTTGTTTTTTTACAAGTTAATTTTGATCTAGCTCGTCCACATGATCTGGCTTCTGATTCACTGATTTTTCAGTCCTCCACGTGTCATTATATAGGATATAGATTGGAATTAATTGGAGGGAAAATTTTGTACGACTCTTGATAGAAAATCATATTGCCTATCTAAGAGACGAGAGTACGGCCGCAGCCAAGCTCTTTGAATTTACTCACCCTAGATTCCGCTAAAAAATTCGGCGGTAGTACAAGCAGTGTCTTAAGTACGGACTTCTAATATAACGGTATGAGAGTATTACATGAGAACTAAAAAGAATGACCTTTCACCGTAGGAATAGTATTTTTAGATGGGAACTATTAATTTTACCCATTGAATTAATTATTAATGGTCTCAATCTATTTATTATAGATCACACTATTGAAAATTTAATTCAATAGCTAAAACAGCAACATCTATTGGTAGTGAAAAATGACATCTTAAATTAATTCTCTAAAAGAAAGAACTCTCTAAGAAAATTATTGCGGTACTACTTATTCATTGAGAAATTTCCTATGAATCTGATACTCCTACATATGTTTTATGTTTTATTTTTTTTCTGTGGCTGTGATATTCTCAATTAGCTAATTAATTATAAAACCCTCCAAAAAAAAAAAGGAGAGAGAGAGAGAGAGAGAGAGAGAAGGAAGAATTACGAGTAACACCCCAAGTAATGTGTAAAGGAAACATTGACATTAAAAGTTAGATGGTTAGTACGATATTGTTGGCATTAAGTGAATAAACATGAGTCACATGCAGATGCTGTTATCTGGGCAGGAAACTTATAAAATGGCCCCATCAACGTAACTAATTTTGCACAGAAAAGATTTTAAATTTCGAGGGATCCAAAATGAAGGGTCCTTTGAAAAGTCTGTTTCATCCATTTTGATAATGTGAAAATACGTGCCAAATCTGCCCACACAATAATATAATCACATGATAGTCAGTTCGTCTAGCCTCATTAACATTTTGGTTAATTTGCAGTTTTCACACTAAAATGATCGCCAATAATACTTGCTAGCTAGCTGGTGTTAATTTTGTTGGATAGCAAATATTCGGAAGAGCCAAAAAATTTATTAATTAATCTTTCTTTTTAAATAATTATAGGACTCTTTTGGTGTATGTCTAATACATATATTAATAAGCGTGTATATATAAAAAAAAAAAAAAAAAAAAAAAGTACTCACATATATATAGTACAAATGATCCAATTTTTGGCGCTGAAAACCAATTGTGTGGAGCTGGTGTATGCAGAGATGTATATAAGATCAAATTTGTATTTGGTCGTGAAGAAAAGAACAAAAAGAGCGATTAAAGTGGCAATAAATAAAAAGAGGGTGTGCCAGCTACTACTGCAGAGAACTGTTGCACTTACTATGGATTTAGTGGCATCTCTACATTGCTAAATCTACCGGCGCTTATCCCGGGCCTATGGGATAATGTATACCACAACTCTCTCTAGCTACTTTCTTCCAGATATATATATATATATATATATATGTCAGTGAAAGGGACCACCATACTTAATTTAACCCTAAATAAATCTCAATCAACCTTTAATTTCAATCTAAATAGATTAATCAAAGACCTTTAATATATAGCTTAAACAAAGAGAATTAATTAGTTAATTTATAAGGTTTTAGAAGTGTCCACTTGGAGAATTTCACTACTCTAGGCTTGCATGGTTCACGTTGGCCGGGTTTTGTCCAGTACTATTGCCCAAAGGAGTAGGGTCGTATACGGCGAAGATACCTTTTTGACGGCAAAATATTTTCATGGAAAAGTAGAGAATGTTCAGTCACTAGTTTATTTATTTATATATTTTTTTATTAGTAGTTTACTACAAATTAGAGGGACAAAATGAGTCTGAAAACGGAGGTATATATTTATATTTTTCATGAATTTTGGTAGAGAGAATTTGAGCCTTATAATTCAGGGAAAAACACTGCAGTATGTATGTGAACTTAATGAAACAAAGGGATAAAACATCTAATTTGGTTTCTCAGTTGATTATGGTTATTATTTTTTTTTTTTTTGGACTTGTTTGGGGACCAAACTCTCATCCCTAAACATGTATGAACTTGTACTATAATTAAGTAGATATAGATTTAGGGTAAGTTGCTTAGGGATGGTTATAAATTTAATTCTTTCTGACATGAAGGGATAATACATATATATATATATATATATATATGTATATATGGTTCAACAAAAGCTGACTGAAGCACTTTGTTCTACTTTTATGGTAAGCAGCCGACCCGAGAAAGATAATAACAAAAGAAAGAAAGAAAATAAAACGGAACTAGATATGCTATTGTAAATGGTAAAGCCAAAGCAAATCTCGTAAAGTTCTTTTAAATTTTTTTGTGCTGATTTTATCGCCAGTGGATGGAGTGCTATATATCACAACTCCCATAAACATAAGAAAAAGATTTGACGGGTGCTCTTCAGTCTTCATAACAAATATTTTTATTACATTATCCTTTTCGTAAATATGCGCCTGAGATGTTCCCTAATATGAAGGTTATTTAGAGTCGCCTGGAGTTTTCCTCAAATAAAGGTTTTTTTTTGTTTTTTTTTTTTTTTTTTTTTTTTTTTTTTTTTTTTTTTTTTTTTACTTCAAACTTGTGTGTGAGGATATTTTACGCTTCATTTATATAGTTATCACATTTATTTCTAAGATTGAGATCTAAAATTAATAGCGTTTCCAAAAAAAGAGAGAGATAAGGTAATTATCAGGAAAATTATTTAGTGGAATATATAAAATATCCTATCGGCCGTTATTTTGCTGTTTCAAAATTTAAATTTTCTCCGACTTTCATGAATTAATTTGCATATACAATTTTTTACTATGATAAATTCAGATGGTTTAATACTGTACAGTATCAAACAAAGTATTTTTTTTTCTTTTTGCAATATCCAAAAAAGTATAAACTTGTAACTTGTTTAGCCATCGAATCCTCCTAATTGTTAATTAAAGAGTTTTCCAATTTAAGAATTTTCTCTTGAAAGGTCCTAGTTTAGAACTATTCATTCACGTATAATCTATGATTTTATATTTCTGCATTTATTGCTGAGGCGGTAAATATCAAAGAAGATATATATATATATACATATATATACATATAAATTAGATATATATATGTGTGTGTGTACAGAGATAATCCCAAGTCACACAAGAGCTTGAGAATGATTATCCCATTACAAAGAGTGCTTTAATACTCTACGATTGCTTGAAAATGGCGTTCAATGCGTTTGAATTACTGTTTGCTAGTTTGTCCTCATTGTTGGACCATTCCTCTTCTGGCTTAGGAACAGTATTACCTTTATCATCTTTAGTTGTTGGATGAGTCCATCCAGTTAAAACAGATTGCCATACCTTCTCATCAATAGCTTTAATGAAAGCTTTCATGCGAGCCTTCCATTAGGGGTAATTGACACCTTCTAGAAACGGTGGTTTGTTCACAAATCCTCCTTCTCTCTTGACATTCATTCCTACAAAATCAACGAGTACACCAAGACTTCACCGAAATACACATCAGTGACCCGTTCTGATACCAATTGTTGGTACCGGTTTAAGTCTTTTAATACTTTATAAGACAATATAAATAATGCAGAAACGCAAAATAAAAGAACACTAAAGAAATGATATCGTGGTTCGGTAACAACCTACTCCGTGGGGCCACGCCTAGATGATGAACAATCCACTAAGAATTTTTTTACAATTCAATTGGACTTAATATACCCGAGACTCCATCTCTAAGAAGAGACCTATGAACTTGCAATTTATCTTTATATATATATATATATATATATGTGTGTGTGTGTGTGTGTGTGTGTACAGAGATAATCCCAAGTCAATTACAAGTCTCCTGTTATCTTTTCTTTCCAACGAGTGTGAGGACAAAAGATACAAAGATGCAACTATAAAGATAATTATAAAAAGAATGCTCTGAGAAGACGGTCAGTAGTCATGAGAAGTGAAGTTGAAGACTAAATCACAGTCCACAGTGTTGTTTTTTTTTTTTTTTTTTTTTTTTTTTTTTTTTTTTTCCCTGCACAGAAAGCGAACCTTCTCTTTTCCTCCCATTATTACTCTCTCCAAACTTTTTCGACTATATGTCTTTTGCATTCTCTCCTTGACCCTTCTTCATTCTCAAAAAGAATACACACCACACCAACAACAAAACATAAAAAACAATTACATTTAAAAAAAAAAAAGAACAGATCGAGAAAAGAAAAGATATGGAGTTTGATCTTACGGACCCGCTAACATTAAGCTTCCAAGAAGAACACCAATCCGATACCGATATCGCGGATCTCTTTGCCTCCGAAGCTGATCATATGCACTCGAGAAACTTCTTCAGTCGTTTAAAAAACAGCGATTCCTATGTTTCCTTTCGTTCTGAAGCAATTTCTCTTGTTTTACAGGTAAGGCCTTGTTATATAGCTTTTGCTTACATAGTTTTGTAAATAAACTAACTTCTTTTTTTTTTTTTTTGGTTCATCAGGCACAGTTTTCGTGTGACTTTGATCCCTTCATTTCTTACCTTGCCATTAATTACATGGACCGGTACCTCGTCTCTAAGCAAGAAATTCCGGTAGTACATCCTAAAAACTTCTTATTATGTTTCAGAGTTACACTTTTTTTGGCAGCCAAATTAACAGGGCTTTTGTCACGTAAATGACCAATAGTTGTTCATATTGCAGCAAGGAAAGCCGTGGTTTTCAAGACTATTTATAGTCGCTTGTCTCTCTCTCGCTGCAAAGATGAAGAACTTTCCCTTTTCACTCTCTGATATTCAGGTAGATGTTGAACTTGAATTCTATACTATTTGTAATAAGCTGAAACTGACAGAGAAGAAATTATGTTAATTGTTCATAAAAAAAAATGAAACAGAGAGATGAAGAGGGTTTTATCTTTGACGCGAAAACAGTTCACAAAATGGAGCTTCTAATTCTTGATGCTTTGAGCTGGAGAATGAGATCGATAACACCTTTCTCATTTTTCGCATTCTTTATGTCTTTCTTCGAACTGAACGACCATCCATTGACGCAAGCTTTGAAAGACCGAGCTTCCGAGATCATCTTCAGCTCTCAAAGTGGTACTTATCCATAATTGAATTAAAATGTAATGCCTTATTCCTTTAAGCTTTGTTAGCCTGATAAACTCTGTTTTTTTTTTTTGGGCTCAAAGACATGAAGTTCTCGGAGTTTAAACCGTCGGTAATTGCGGCATCAGCTCTTCTCTCTGCATCTCATGAGCTATTTCCATTGCAATTCCCTTCTTTCAATGCTTCAATCTCAGATTGCCAATATGTTAAAAGGGTATGCAGATTTATCATTTTTTCCCCTCCTCATTTTGGTTTCTAATAAGAACAAGTTAATGGTCTCACTGTCAAAACTTTCTGTTGCTGTTGTTGTTGCAGGAGAATTTGATAAAATGCTTTAATCAGATGCAAGAAATGGTGGCGATGATGCAAGTATACAGTTCAAATTGTGAAACATTTTCAAGCACAAAAACGCCGATGAGTGTGCTCGAACGTAATAAATTGGCAAGCTCAGAAAGCGAGAACTCTTCCACCGTGACCTCGACAACACAATGTGACACCATAATATCTGAGAAGGAAGACAACAAGAGACGTAAATTGAATGGTCCCTGTAATAGGTTCAATATTTCTAAGTTTTGCCACTATTGATTATGTTAGAATTAGACAAAGCAGCTGGTTTTTGACAATTGTCTCTCTTGCGATATTGTACTCTTGGTGCTCTGATTTGAGGTCTCTCTATCACTATTTTCTATATTTCTCTCGTCACACCGTGTAAAAAGAAGTGAAAATAGTGAGAAATAACAAGAAAATATTTTGTTTCACGGGATGTGATAATGGATAAAACGGGGCACTTGAAAGTTGAACCACACCGTCTTGTTGTTCTTTCGCCAAGTTTGGATGCGATTAAGAAGCTTTAGGATGCTAATTAAATGTAAAGGGCAACTTAAGTAATGAATTAATTTTCAGGCCGAAGATTAACGTACAGAGTTAATTGAGTAGTTAATTTTAAGACGAGATTATATGATAGAAGAAACGTTGAAGACTGCAGTGTGTTTGTACAATACATTGGCCTGTTCTGTGCTTGAAAGCAACTGGAGAGTGGAACTAAGTCCTATCCATGAACGTGGTTGTTAAGGAAGCAAAGAGACCAACCTACAAAGTAACTAAGAGAGAAAAAAAAAAAAAAAAGAAGAAAAGAGATTTAGAAACTGACTAAGCATATAATTTTGTATATGTAATCTTTTTTTGTTTTTTTGTTTTTTGTTTTTTTCAGAGTTTTGCATTTGATGATGGATTAAAACTTAAAAAGCAGAAGGTTCTATTAGCTCTTAAGTACTGTAATACCCTAAACCATATGTTTATGAATATGTTTCATGTATGATAAAAAATTATTGAGATTCCTTATTTAAGTTAATGGTCAACAACTTTGTGATTACTCAATTATTTCGATAATTTGCTTATAATATTTTACGATGTGCAATAATAAGAAATAATTAATTTTGAATCTTAGAGATTTGAGAAATTGCGAGTTTCAAATTTCTAAATAATCTAAAGATCACGAAATACCATTATGATACGAGACCAACGTGAAAGTAGTGGTATAAATTTTTTTATGTAATTTTAGATGGAATTTCTAACATTGAATTCTTAATCAGAGCATTCAAATTAGTTAAGGAGGGAACTATAAAAATCTAATTTCGGGGCCAAATTTATAACTTTGGCAAATACGGAACCTAAGACATAATTCTCTTTTTGAAAACATGATTTTAAAAATGTTTAAGGTCAGAAATATAAGAGGTGATGAGTTTCTCAAAGTTTCTGGTTGGTTGTCAAGAGTTTACCACCCACAACAACTAATAAGATTTTAGCTTAGCTAAAAAAAATCAAAATCAAAATAAAGAAAGAGAGAAAATAGGGTATCAACTAAAAACATATCATATCATATTTTAGAGTCCAAAATCAGTTCTCTTTCATCTTTCTCACTCTCTCCTCAACCATTCCCGTAACTCCCTCAACCCCTTACAAGAAAACCACCTTCCACACCTCCAAACTTGAAATTTCTCCATCCTTTTTCTTCCTAATTGTTGGGATTTGTTTTCTAAATTTTGTATTGATTCTAATCATTTTATGATTGGTATTATTTTGAGAATGATTGGCTGGTTGATTGTGTTTAAGAATAGATATGCAGCTGACAAGCTCTTTATGAAAAGTTTCTGTAAGAATCTGAAAACTTAATTCAGTTACTGTTTTTAAAAAGTCAACTATTGATCCTAAGATGGTAAATTATTAATTGGTGATTTGATTGATATTTGATTGAGTTTTCGTAGCTGGATGATCTTCCTCTGTCTTCTAAGAACATGTCTAGGTTCATATATCAGTTTTGGAAAGGTTTCAGAATTAAAACAGATTAATTCGAACTGGTTTTGAGAAAGTCGACCTTGACAGCTATGTTGCAGTTATTGTTGCAACAAGGATCTGAAACAGATTTGGTTCAGTGAATTAATTGAAGAGGTCGTCAAGCTGTTATCATTTTACTTATTTATTCAAAGAGTCTCTTGTATCTCTGTACACCTTTTGATTTAGTTTTGCTTGGTTGTGAGAGAGGTGAGCACTTGTATTCAAGAGAGATAATTTGAGTGTTTTTCGGGAGAAAAACTTAGTTGGAGGGATTCTAATGTTAAAAAGTCGAGGGATTCTCACTGTTCAAGTCCATTGGGAAATCACAAGTTCATAGGTCTCTTCTTAGAGATGGAGTCTCGGGTACATTAAGTCCAATTGAATTGTAATAGAATTCTTAGTGGATTGTTCATTATCTAGGCGTGGCCCCACGGAGTAGGTTGTTACCGAACCACGATACCATTTCTCTCATTTCTTTTATTCTGCGTTTCTGCATTATTCATATTGTCTTATAAAGTATTAAAAGACTCAAACCGATACCAACAATTGGTATCAGAACGGGTCACTAATGTGTATTTCGGTGAAGTCCTGGTGGACTGGTTAATTTTGTAGGAATGGATGTCATGAGAGAAGGAGGATTTGTGAACAAACCATCGTTTCTGGAAAGTGTCAATTACCCCTATTGGAAGGCTCGCATGAAAGCTTTCATTAAAGTTATTGATGAGAATGCATGACAATCTGTCTTAACTGGATGGCTCATCCAACAACTAAAAATGATAAAGCCAATACCGTTCCTAAGCCAGAAGAGGAATGGTCCAACAATGAGGACAAGCTAGCAAACAGTAATTTAAAAGCATTGAACGCCATTTTCAATGCTGTGATGTTAATCAATTCAAATTGATTTCTACATGTGAGGCCGCTAAAGAAGCATGGGATATTCTTTGAACTGCACATGAAGGTATGGATGCTGTGAAGTCTTCAAAACCTCAAATCCTGACAACCCGTTTTGAGCGTTTGCATATGGAGGAAGATGTGTGTATTGCCAATTTCAACTCAAAGCTTTGTGATATTGCTAACGAAGCCTTCGCCCTTGGAGAAAAATATTCTAACGCCAAAGTGGTGAAAAAGACCTTGAGGTCACTTCCAGCACGTTTCGTTTACAAAGTGACAGCCATCAAAGAAGCAAAAAATGTGGAGAAGAGGAGACTTGATGAAATCATAGGTAATCTTTAAACCTTTGAGATGAACTTTAAGGATAAAAAGAAAAGTAAAGGAATTGCTCTTTAAGCAGATTATGATGATATGTCCACCAAAGATGAGACCGACGAAGATGAGGACTTGAGTGAGTCTCTTACTTTACTCATCAAAAACTTCAATAAAATGTTGAGAAAGATCAACAAGAAAGGGAGATTTGGAGAGAATTCAAAGAACATAAATTCTCAAAAGAAGAATTTTAACTCTCAACGGTTTGAAGAGAAGAAAAGAAATAAGGGAATACAATGCCGAGAATGTGAAGGATTCAGACATCTTCAAGCGGAGTGTACAAACACTCTCAATAAGAGAAACAAGGCTGCCATGGTGTCTATATGGAGTAATGATTCAGATGAAAGTTAAGAGGAAGCATATGATCACACCAGTAATTATGTGGCCTTCACTGTAAGAAATGAATTCACGGATAAACATTTATTTAGCACTGATAATGTTGTTGCAGAGTCTGTTGCAACAGCGTCTGCAACAACCTCTGGTGGAGTTGTTAATGATATAAATTTCGAGGATGAAACTGAAGATAACAGTGACGATAAGTCTTGGGAAGATTCACGAGGCTTATAAGAAGATGTACAACAAATGGCTTATTGTTTGCAAACGAAATAAATCGCTTGAAGATGAAGTTGTTGTCTTAACAAAGGAAAGAGATGAGTTGAAGAATGCTGCAACAAATTATGAAATCTTGGCAACATAGCATCAGAGAAAGCTTACTGAGACCAAACTCGAATTGGAGCAGACCCAGAAGAATTTAAGGATGCTTAACTCGGGCACAACAAAATTGGATCACTTACTCTCACAACAAAAAACTTGTGGTGATCATTCAGGCCTTGGTTACAACGGGCAAGAAATTTTTAGGAAGACTATCTTTGTGAAAGGAGCTACCAATACTATGATGCAGTCCTTTAAAAAAGCTCAGGTAAGATCAGACAAGAAGTTTGTTGCAAAGCCTGTTGTAGCAAAACAAGCAACATACAGGTTTGTCCTATTTGTCACTATTGTAATTTGTCTGGCCACATTAGACCTAGATGTTACAAATACTTGAATGCTTTAAAAAGATGTATGATCATCAATCCACCAAATTCTGCATTCACAAGAAGGACACCTAAAGCAAAGATTGATGTGCAAAATAAATTTTCTAGACGTGTGTGGGTAAAGAAATCTGATTTAAGGTGTCGTGGGGCTTACACTTCTTTTAAAACATATACTACTAACTCTGAGTATTGTGGTAATGGTCACTTCAAACTTTTGATATGTGATAAAAGCAATATGCATGGGAGACTATCATATTCAGGGGGAGTACGACTCGTAGAAGATTCAAGGAGAGTGATTTGCATAAATTAATGAATTAGAACGTGATATGTAGGAAAGTGTTGCACAGAGTGTTCCATCAGGTGTTGCAACACTTTTTGTGACAATAGTTTTATTTTTGCTTATTTTTGTCAAAAAAAGGGAGTAGGTAGTCTGTGATATTTTACTTCAGGCGGAGTTTTCTTGGAGACAATTTGCTTCTGACTTTATGAAAGTTATTTTGTTTCAGTTTCCATTTTTAGTTTTGCCAAATCAATGTCAAAGGGGGAGATTATTGGGATTTGTTTCCCAAATTCTATATTGATTCTAATCGTTTTATGATTGACATTATTTTGGGAATGATTGGCTGGTTGATTATGTTTGAGAATAGATGTACAGCTGGCAAGCTCTTTATGGAAGGTTTCTGTAAGAATCTGGAAACTTAATTCAGTTATTGTTTTTGAAAAGTCAACTGTTGATCCTAAGATGGTAAATTGTTAATTAGTGATTTGATTGATATTTGATTGAGTTTTCGTAGCTATATGACCTTTCTCTATCTCCTAAGAACGTGTCCAGATTCATATATCAGTTTTGGAAAGGTTTCAGAATTAAAGCAGATTGATTCGGACTAGTTTTGAGAAAGTTGACATTGACAGCTATGTTCCAGTTATTGTTGCAGTAAGGATTTGTAACAGATTTAGTTCAGCGAATTAATTGAAGAGATCGTCAAGCTGTTACCATTTTGCTTATTTATTCAAAGAGTCTTTTATATCTCTGTATACCTTTTGATTTAGTTTTGTTGGGTTTGAGAGAGGTGAGCACTTGTATTCAAGAGAGATGATTTGAGTGTTTTTCAGGAGAAAAACTTAGTTGAAGAGATTCCAATGTTAAAAAGTCGATGGGATCTCGCTGTTCAAGTCCATTGAAAAATAT